GGGGAGGGACTCAGATTTCAACTCAAGGAAAAATTAACCTGCAAATATCATCAAAATAACTTTTTCATTTATTTAACAAGATGACTGTTTCTGAATGTACACATTTGCTTTATGAACATAGAGTAAAATATTTCTTTTCATCTTCATTTTAGTCTAGCGATCACTACATAAATTTAGACATGGGTAATGAACACTCTTTACACAAGAACATGATCGTGCTTCAGTTGATTCAGTGTGTCCATGTATGAGCTGATTTCTGGTCATTGTGGAAGTTTTATTAGGTGAACACTACCACATTCACCCCCACCAGGACCAGATAGTGTGCTCACAAAACAAGTGCTCATATGTGATAGAAATGTGCTGACCACAGCAAACAGTTTCTGCTTGATGGGGTTATTAACTTATGGAACACTTTCCATGGCTAGACACATCCTTCCTTTGTTTTTACTGTGCAATATGGTCTACTTTGCCTCAGATTAATATGTGAAATTAAATGTCCTAGTATGGGAGCAGTAATGTGCATAGCATTTTTTTTTTTTTTTTTCTTGAGAACTTGCACAACTGAAAATGTCTGAGTACATCAAATGGTGACTCATGAGATGATCCACAGTCCTTAGAAAGGTCAATGTCCCTCCTGTGTGGCAAACAAATAGATTTCTCCCCCCAAAGAATCGCTTGGCTTTAGAGTCTGTTGATGAATCCAGTAAGAAGTAAATATCTTTTTCTTGAAGTATACAGATTCAAAAGAAGACCAAAACATTTACAAACGGTTCTAGAAAAAAGTTTTTGCCATTAATTTCCCAGGTCAAAAAATTATACAGAGACACAATTAGATATTTTGAAGCTCATGCTACTAGAAATCACTAAATTAAAATTTTGGCTGTTTGTAAGGTTATTGGTAAATTCAAATGTATTTTTCCAATTTAGGCCTCTGAATTGATGAAGGCAATAGACACAGTGAGAGGGGGAAGCACTCACTTTGGAGGTCAAAAGACTCCGTTAAGTACTGACTCAGTTCCCTGAGTAGCAACCATATTCCTTCACAGTCTGATAATATCTTCCTCTCATTAATATGTCCTGTCTGAATGCTTAGGGCCTATGATTAAATTCCAATGTTAGTTTATGCAACAACATGATCATTTATTGGTTAAATATTTTCCATAATGCCTACGTTTTAGTTAACACTGTACAAATCAGCAAATATCCCAAGGGGCTCACAGCATGCCTACAAAACACAAATATACAAAGTTAAGGCAAGCTTATGGCAAGCCTCCTTAAAATAATAGGAAATATTCAAGCACAAAGAGAGATGAAAATACAGATCATCTATTGTAAAGAGCCATATTTCGAGGAAGGATAATATTTAAAAAGCACAGAAGAATATTTTATCCAAGAGGGAATTATAAACATAAAAATAAAATATTTGGTATTCTACACTATATTACAAAAATAAATATAGCAATCAATAAATAAGGGAAGCCCAGAAACTTTTACATGAATATGTTGGTTGTTGTCTGCCAAAGTCTCTGTTTTGACTCCCCTCAAGGATTGTTTAGCTTTATGGATTCCAGTGATGATAACTCTGCCATAAAAGACTGCTGTGGGGCCTAATGGAGGGTCTATGACCAGAGAAGATCTTAATAAGTTCTCCTTTCCTAAGAATCTGACAATTTTACAGTTTAGTATTAATACAGTGGTATAGAGGAGTTGCAGATGTACTGTGAAGGGTCTGAGGGAGATGGGCTGAAGGGGACCAAGGAAATTCCCTTTATGTCTTTCTGATTTTTAATAAGGAGAAAGGAAAAAAAAAAAAAAAAGAAGAATGTACACAACCAGGAACATTTGAATAACCAGTATGGGGCTCTTCGCATTCTCTTTCCATACAGAAGAGAAAAATCATAGAAATACAGGTTTACGTCTGGACTTTAGTAATAGGAGAAACATCTGGGGTACACAGCCCAGATGCTTAGATTTTTGCATCTCTTAAACAGTATAATGATATTAAGTGCTCACAGCAAGGGTTGTCCAGGAACCCCGGCAAGCCACAGATTGCATGAGGGAAGCAGAGGCTGACATGGTGTTCATGTTCTAACGTCAGTGTGCTCATGTCAGTGGTATGCTGGTTCACATGGGCTCACAAGGGCCCATGATTAAATTTTCAGGAATTTTGCAAGCCAGTCAACAACTCATTGGTACTTGAAACAAGCCATGACCTTTGATGTCACATGGAAGAATTCACATCATTGGAACCCACAGATCAATGGTTTTTGGTTTGGTTTTGGTTTTCCCCAGAGCATGATGGAAAACATTTACCAGCACACCCTTGTCTTATATTTTAGACATAAAGAAAAGTTTGGTTGTTTTTTTATCTAACCAGAGTTATCTTGTTCATGGAAGATTTTACTATTTGTTTATTACAGTATCCTTTTGAAATGATAAGAAGTACCGTAGAGTATACATCATGTACCGTGCAGTATACAAGATGCACCACATTCCTTTGAGGGCACTAAGCTTGGCTATCCACAGCCAGTTGCATACACACACATACACATGCACACTCACACACACATAGGTCATTTTATATGAAGACTATTCCAAAAATGAATGATTCTGAACTCCATGGCCATATCAAATTATCTGTACACACTGATGATTGTAATTCCATTCATCCAGGGGCAATGAATTCCCCCCAGGATATACCACTCTTAATAGCAATGGGCAATGGAGGTACAGAACTGAGGTCAAAATTGGGCAAAATTGTCCTTCAATATAGCTTCCCTTGTCTCTATATTCTAGTTCAATATAAATTTACAACTTGAAGGGATTTGTGAAAGGGGGATAGGTTGTTTCCTAAGTTAAGGGAAAATAAATGTGTATGACTTCATAAGGAAACATTCATTGGGATGAGTGAGGGACAATGTACTAGAATCCACATTCCTGAGTACAGGGTGAACCATCCATGTCACCTGTCTGGAGATGTGAGGTTTGTTAATTGCTCTTCTTGGGTTCCTCTTGCACAGACTCCTGACCCTACTACAGGGAGCTAGGACTGGAGCCACAATCTCAATGTCCTCACAGTCCCTGCCTGCTGGATACACCATCAAATCCATTCCTGCCAGGAACACTACACTTCCCAGATTCCAGTCCTGGCCAGTTCCTCAAATGGGAAGGCTGCAGAGTTAATACTATGGTGCAAACTTGATGCCTAATTCAGGCTTCACTGTTGAGTCATTTGCTTGTGGGCCTATTTGCTTATTTGTTTAAATGCACTATTTTGAGATTTGGTTTTCTTTTTCTTTTATGTGTGTTCTTCATGGGCAATGGATTTCAAAAAGGATAATATTAAAATCAATCAAATCAAATATCAAGAGGGAACCTAGAAATTAGAACACTAACCCACTTCATCTTGACAGCAACTTCTTTCATGTATTCCCTTCAAGCTCTCAGTAAGGGTAGTTAGTGGAGGCCAATGAAAACAGAGGCACAGGAATGGGAGGAAGATATGAGGCACTAGGGCAAAGAAGAAAGATGGAAGGAAGAAGAGGAAACAGAGAAAGAGAGGAAAATTAGAAATGAAAAAAAAAAAAGGTCCCTTCTGAATTTTCCTCCCTTGGCCTTGAATAATTTTATTCTGTTCAAAAGGTTCAACTCCCTACATAGAATTGCATATCATTTTGCAAACACATCTGAGGATAGCATCTACATCCTTTCCCCTTCTCCTGTGCAAGCCCCTGCCCTCACATTCTCTATCGTCTGCAGCAATAAAGGCCACTATGGCCTTGTTTTCCTGTTGACTCAGGAACAGATTTCATCCTGAAGTCTCCTGTTTTCCTTTGTTGACCAAGTGCTGCCCTCTAGAGCACCTTGGTCTCTTTGGTTTACTCATTGCTGTTGTATTCATAAAGCCCATGCTGCCACTCAATGAGGTTTGGTTTCTATATCAAAGAGCACCTCCTCTCAAACATGCAACATCCTTCATCAGGCCCTGCTACTCTGAGCAATGGCATAAATTCAACTGGCAAAAGCTACATTTACGTTCAACAGTATTTACCTACCACTGCCACTGAGTCGATTCCAACTCATAGCAACACTTTAGGACAGAGTAGAACTGCCTCATAGGGTTTCCAAGCCTGTAAATATTTATGGAAGCAGACTACCTCATCTTTCTCCACAGAGTGGCTTGTAGATTCTAACAACTTTTTGGTTAACAGCCAAATGCCTTAAGCATTGCACCCACCAGAGCTCCTTCCAACCATATTTAGGATATGTAATATTCCATACACACACACACACACACACACAAACAGTTGTCATTGAATCTCTTCTAACTCATGATGGCCCCTTGTGTCAGAGCAGAATTGTGCTCTGTAGGGTTTTCAATGGCTATTTTTTTTGGAAATAGATTGCGAGGACACTTTTCTCTTTTGAATCTGGACTCAAACCACCAACCTTTCAGCTAGCAGCTGAGCACTCCAACCATTTGCACCACCCAGTGTCTCTGTATAGGATGGTTAAATTGCTTTTTGTTGTGTGCCATGATTCTGACACATAGTGACTCCATAAGGCAGTAGAACTGCTCCATTGGGCTTACAAGTCTGTGATCTTTGGGCTTATCAGCCTAGCACTTAAACACTCTGCTGCTAAGGCTCCTTGGATGGTTAAATATTGGATACAAATATCTTGACTTAAATCCTACTCAGAAAAAAGGTGAATGAAATCATACCACTGGCTTTTAATATACACACATTTGAGTGAGTTACATACATTTATGCCTCCAATTGACCTATATAGAACCAAAAGGTGTTCGTCAATTCATGTATGTACAAATATACATACACAAATACATATCTTTTGATACTGTATTTCTGTTTGGGGGTTGTTGTTTCCACAATTGCACAGAAGACAAGTAATGTGGGCTTGCCATTTGCTGTGAGAAACGGCATTGTCTGAAAATGGCAAGTCAAAAGAAAAATGGATTGGAAGGGACCAGAGTGTATAGCAAAATATGCATTTCCTACAGCAAACCGGCCTGTTCATTCCCCTAAGGCAGTAAGCCTATATTATCTGTACACCCTCATTAAATAATCTCATTAAATAGGAACACAATATACACATTTACAGTTGTTAAATAAGCCATAGGACTCTTATCTACAGCCACATTCAGAGACTGTCATGCCTTCATATTTAAACTTGTAGGTGACAACGCCTTTGTCTAAATAAAGGATGGAAATGGGATCTAGCTTTGTGGGCACACAGCATGCTTTGGAAGCCTTCTGGGAATTCTTGAGGTGGACCAAAGCCTGGATAATTGCATGCTTTGTGGGTGTGAGATGCTCTGCCAGGGGGTAGTTACAAACACCACGGCATTCATAGGCTTCATATCCAGGTGGAGCAATGATCCAGGAGTCCCACCCAATCTCCTTGAAGTCAATGTAGAGTGGGGTCCTTTTGCAGTAGTTTCCCTTGGCATTCCTTCTGATTCGGGCAGTGGAGTCATAGATGATGTTCGACCTCATCTGCAGCAAAGCCTCTTCCCCAGGGCCACTGGAAAAACCATCCAGGCCCAGGTTGTCAAGCTCCAGAAGTTGTTCATGAGCAATCATTTCATTCAGTTCCTCCTTCTGCTCCTTGTCACTGCTTTGGTCATCAGAAAACACAATGAGTAAAGGTACATGCTTATTCTGGGCACTGGTGTCTATTTCCAATTGTCCCCTGCCAGAGTCCTCAAGTTCTTCATGTCTGCTTTCAATGTGGACTTCCAGCTGGTGAATGGATGAGCCTGATTTTTGCCAACGTCTGATGGCATCTGTGACATCAAATGTCTCCCACTCACTGTTGGTTCCATAGATCTCCCCAGACACCAAAACTAGCATGCTTCTTTCAGCTCCTCTGTCCTGTTTGTTCTCTAGTATTTCAAAAATGGTGATTTTCCTATCCACTCCTTCATATATCATGCGGTCTCTTTGCACCAGGGTGTACAATCTGAGTTCAGCCATGATGACCTCTTCATGGTGAGGTATTGACACATTGAAGAGGAGAGGATATTTCCAGAGCCCATTAAAACTGGCTGGTTGGGAAAACAGATCTGACAAAAAAAGACAACAATTAGATTTTTCAATATGTTTCAGAGAAAAATAGCTGTTATTTATGTAATGAGAGGGCTTGTTCCATGGAGAAACCTTAATAGAGAAGGAAGGGAGAAGATCAAAGAAAACAAATGCAATGTTAGCATTCTCTGATACAGGAAATACTGAAAAGCCAATGGTAGAATGCTAAACTGAGTTAGGCTGCCAATATTAAAATGGAAAACGTCGGCCTAATGGGTGTCAGAAAACTCACCCAGTCTTGCTTGAGTAGCTGATCAGTTATAGAACTGAAGAACTAGAAGGGGCCTTGGAGACTGTGAGAGCAAGCCCCCATTTCTAACCAATGAGTAGCCATAAAATGGGAAATGTAGTGGTCTTTTCTTGAGAGTTTTTCAGTGATGAGGACTTCTCAGCTTTTCATACTTCTTGTGTTTGTAAGAGGTTGAAGCTCCCACATAAGTGACTGGATGCTGATCTTCCTAAAACTTCCACCTATGCCTAGCTACTAAATGAAAGGTTGGCATTTCAAACCCACCCAGTGGCTCCATTGGAGATAGACCTGGAGATCCGCTCTCATAAAAACTACAGCCTAGGAAACATTGTGAGCCAGTTCTACTCTGTCACATTTCTCCTCTGCTGCTATGATTGAAATCAACTCAATGGTACCTAACAACAGTAGATCAGGAGTTAACAAACTATGGTCTGTGAGCCAAAGTTTCCCCACAATCTGATTTTGGAAATAACGTTTTATTGGAACACGGCCCAGCCTGTTTTTTTCTCATAATCTACTATTGTTTTTGTGCTACAATGGCAGAATTAAATAGTTGCAACAGATAGTAGATGGCCTCCAAAGTCTAAAATATTTACCATTTGGCCCTTTATAGAAGAAGTTTACTGAAAGAAAAAGCAACTTCATAGTAAAAATGCTGTTCTAGTCAACAAAGCCTGTCAATGTCAACAAGACAGCACATGGTATTTGGGTATGTGATACTCTATAAGGTGGAAAGGGAGAAAATAAACCTTGAGATAGACTGATTGCCTTAGTATTATACCCCTAGCACCTGACATGGGATGTGGGACATATACAACACTCAAGAATGTTTATTAAATAACTTTTTAAAGGTCCTTTAACTTTATAAGCACATTTCCAAATACTAGCATGTTGAGTTCCTATCTAAAATTTTACTGTGAGTCCAAAGCCCCTGTACACTTGCTTCAGGTAATATGTCTCTGCAAGGAATCCCTGAAGGCATTTGTCATCAGAAAAGGGATCCATTACACCAGTGATCAATTAAAGTCTTTCCTATTGTCTTTGGTAGTTTTTCTACAACTATACACCCAAATTACAATTTTTATTGGGTCCATATTTTTCTTTAACTTCATCTGACTATTTTTACATTTACAATCTCTTTTATACTTGCCCTAAGGAGCTCTAGTGGTATAGTGCCCTAGGCATTTGACTGCTAACCAGAAAGTTGGAGGCTCAAACCCACCAGCCACTCTGCAGAAGGAAGATGGGGCAATCTACTTCCATAAAGAGTTACTGGTTTGGAAACCCAATAGGGGCTGCTATGAGTCAGAATTGAATTGATGGCAGTGAGTTTGGTTTGGCTTGGTTATACTTGCCCTAAGCAGCAGAATTCATGAAATAAGGGGTATTATGTGATAGTTATGTGGTCTTTTCTTTCCCCCCAAATCCACATTAATAAAAATATGTAATTATTTAAATCAGACAACTCCCTCTGAGTACCACCCAAAATTATCTTTCCCACTGCTAGCAGGAAATACTGGTTAATGGAATGAATTTAAACTCATTACTTAGTTCTCAATAATGGCCTATGGAGTGAATTCAAACTCATTAACTTGTACCATTTGATGGCTAGTCACTAGTTGGAAAACTGGGGACTGGCCTGCACAATCTCCAAGGTCACTCCTAGTTCTGTAATGTATGGCTGAAAAGTGTTAACCTCTTGATCTAGCCATAGCTCCCATTGGTCCTCTTCAGTGGATAGGAAACTGCGATTACTAGATTAATATTTGCTGAATGATTAATGAATTGGTAAACACTCCTGTTTCAAGAAACTGAGCTCCTCATGGCTTGCCAAAACATTCCTTTGCATTATTGCATTTCAGACCTTTGGATATTTTCTGGGAGCTCTGGTGGTATAGTGCCTAAGGCATTTGACTGCTAACCAGAAGGCTGACAGTTCAAACCCACGAGCCACTCCTCAGTAGGAAGAAGAGGGGTCGCTATGAGTCAGGATTGACCTGACAGCAGTGGGGTTTTTTTTTATTTGTTTGTTTTGTTTTTCCCTGATATTTTCTGACCTTTGTAAAGCCCTCTTACTGTCCACTTATCCAATATACAACAAGACCCAGCTCTAATTTTTCCCTGTGCCATCTTCTCTTTCTCATTTCCTTACCTAGAAGTTCACTTCCCTTTGAGAAATTTGAGCACTTACTCTCTATATATCACATTTGAACTTTGAAATTTACATCTATTTATTTCAGTTGTCTTTTTATGAATGAATCTTCTCAACAAAATTGTCATCATGCATCAGGTACCATTACTTAAACTTCTTTTTATGCCTCCAACCTATAACAATGTCTGTAACAGAGGCAGTTCTTTAAATATTTTGAAGAGCTGATGATTTTGGATTCCAGACCAAATTGATAGGCATGATATACATCTTTAATATATCATCAAATTCTTGAGTAAGAAGCAGAAGTACTTTGGGAGCTTTCCCACCACTATTAAGAATGGAGCTGACTAAATGTCCTTGAACAGGGAACATGAGAAAATCAAAGGGATTTTGATTTTGGGAGAGGAGACTTGTTGTCTCATGAACAAGAAAAGTGTAGAATGAAAATTCACTATGGTGTGAGGAAGGGATTGCAAAGTTGCACAAGGAAACTGTTGGAGATGTTGGATATATTCACTATCTTGATTGTGTTGGTGGTGTCAACAGGTGTTTACATATATTAAAACATACCAAATTATGCACTTTAAATATGTGCACTTTATTGTATGCCAATTATACCACAATAAAGCCATAAAAAAATAAGTTCACTGCAAAATTATGTGCATATGAAAATGGAGTAAATAATAAGTGGAAGTGTTCAATTTCAAGGCAAGGAAATCAATGTTTGTTCAGTTAATTTAATATGCCAGCTTTGCATTGTCTTATTTAGTTCTTACAATGACCCACAAAGTGTAGATACTGCTGTTCTGCTCATTTTACTCTGGAAGACATTGAGCCTCAATGCAGAGTTCATTTATCACAAGGTAATGATGCAGCAGCACTAGGAATCAAAAGCATGCTTTTGCCGCCTTGGATGTAGGCACTGATTAGTTAACTTTGAAGTTTTTTGTCTTTATCTTCTAGGGGAACTACATTGAGTAGACCTAAAGGATCAGAAGAGAAATCTTAGCAGCCAACAGTGCAGGATTCTGGGCCCCAGGGCTGTACACTCTACCTACAGACTAGCAGAGGTATGGCAGCTGGGCTTTCATTGAAAGATACGCTCCTGCCCTTGGTGATCTCTAGTAATAACAAGTTCTGCAAACTTCACATCCTGTCTTGAATCAACCAGACCCTCCATGGGAGAAGAACTGAAAACAGTCCTATTTTCCCAAGAGAGGTGAATAACTTTTTCCCACTTAACCATGCACCAGAAACTCAGTGCTGGGAAGCATTAGAGAGACTTCCCACAGGAGGAAGTGATTCATTATCAATTCACACTCACCTCCAAAAAGAATCTGTAAATTCAGTTGGCCATATAAATTAGGAATATGTTGCTCAATATTAGAAAATTTGGAAATTGACTAAAATTTATAGGCAAATGATATCTTAGGGACCAAGTTGTGCCTAACCAAAGCCATGGTATTTTCAATCACCTCATATGCATACGAAAGTTGGGCAATGAATAAGGAAAACCAAAGAAGAATTTATGCATTTGAATTATGGTGTTGGTGTAGAATATTGAATATACCATGGACTGCCAGAAGAATGAACAAAGCTGTCTTGGAGGAAGCACAGCCAGAATGCTCCTGAGAAGTGAGGATGGTGAGACTTTGTCTCTTATACTTTGGTCATGTGATCATGAGAGACCAGTCCCTGGAGAAAGACATCATGCCTGGTCAAGTAGAGAGTCAGCAAAAAAGGAGAAGACCCTCAAATATATGTACTGATGTAGTGGCTTGCACCAATGGTCTCAAACAGCAAAGACTATGAGGATGGTGCAGGACTGGGCAATGTCTCATTCTGTTGTAAAAAAGGTTGCTATGAGTTGGAACTGACTCATCAGCACCTAACAGCAACAATAAGAAGCAATAATTACTCATCATTTACTCTGATGCCTAGAATATTAAATAATTCATTAATAATAACTGAAGTTTGTTCAGCACTTCATAGCAAATGGAGTACTTTCTTACTCATAACCTCTTTTGAGTCGCTTAATTGTGTGATGTAGGTATCATTACCCCCAATTTACAAATGAGGAAATTGAGTTTCATAGAAATTAATCTAATTCTTCACAACTGCTAAGTCATCCAGCTCTCAAAATTCCAAATCCTGAGCTATCTCTTTGCCACTGCCTTTCCTGCTTTCAAGAACATCTGGTCAACATCAATCTAAATCTTCTTATATGTTCTTAATGACTATAATATAAAAACATAATTGCTAAATATTAAAGAATTGGTTTCTTTATACCCACAGATTCTACCATAGATATCAAGGAAAAAGAAATTGGCCAATTAGCACCTTATTAAACAAGGGATTAATTTGCTATCCCATTAGATTTATTTATTGTTTTTAAAGATCTGAGAGGATAAAACACTTTTTCCACCAATACTTTAAAGACTTGTGCATTGTCCTTCATAAAGACACATGAATGATAAGCTGGATCGTTAATTGGACCATATACACTTCCCAGAAACTATAAACAGTGTTCAAAGATGTGTATAACCCATCAAACACAACAAAACTTTAGGAAGACTCTCCAAGATGTATATTTTCATCCAGTTTGAATGCTCCTTAAATAAAATCACAAAATGGAATCTAAACCAATGTTTGAGAGAAACACAAATCACAACATTTTGGTTTCTGTGTGTGTTTTCACAATTTCGTTCTAAGTAAAATCGACAAATTTTGTAGTCAATTAAAGTCAAAATGGAAACTGAAGCCTATCTGGTAAGTGACAAACAAAAGTATATTAGTAGAACTACATCAATTTTCTCTATTAGTTGGCACTCAAATTAAAATTTTTAGAAGACCCAGTTATAATGTCAAAATGGTAGACTTCTTATGGCTTTGGAGTAAAATATTTTTAGGTTCTGAAAAGACTATATAAGGGTATGTGTAGACAAAAATCTGCATTGTAGATGCAGTCATCCTTGTCTATATCGTCCCCATGCATTACAAATCTACTTTTTGCTTCTTTAAACAGCCCAGGCCAAATTTCATTAGTAAAAATGTAAACTTACCTTCATTTGTAAAACTCCTAATGATGTTGGCAGATGGCATGGAGGTCCGATCTGTTGCAAATTTGTTGTAGAGTTCCAACATGTACTCTGGTGGGTCAACCTTGGTGGAATCATGTGTTGGGATGTCAGACAGATTCAATGTCTTGAGAAACTCATTCTTCATGCTCTGCAGCAACGTGTTAAAGTCGACACCATCTTGCTCTGAGAAGACATCATCGAAGAGGGGCATGTCTTCTTCCAGAGGCGATTGCTCAAGGCTCATGATGGGGCTGCCAGAAGCCCAGTGAGCCACCAGGCAGAAGAGAGCACACAGCCACAGGGCCGGAGAACCCATGACTCTGCTTGAGCCCCCAGCCCAACCAGGAGGGTTTAGCTCTCCTGGGCTCTAACTGTCAGTTTTATCTTGTGGAGCGTAAATGTCTCATGTCATCAGGGTTGACAAGTTTGGAAACTCTTTCTCTCTCTCTCCCTCCCCCTACCACTCTTCCTCTCCCCCCAAAAGTCAGGTTGCAGTAATTGGATAGCAAAATCCCCCATAGGGGCCTAACCTTTCTTATCTCTCTAGTGTAAACTTGTGCACCAGATTTTGTTTCTATCTTAAAATCCCTTTTTCTTTTAATGAGCATTTTGTAAACATTTCCACATTCTGACACTGACTGAGAGATAGGACAATTTTCTCCTTGCAAGGGCTCAGCTTCTCTTCCTTTCAACTCACTTCCTTTGGCAGGAATGCCTAAGTTCTGCTTTTTATTCATTTCAGTCTCACACATGTATGTATAATACGTATTAAGAATCAACATAATACACATCAGTACTGCTACATATTATCTAGTGGGGGTGCTTACTCACTTGTATAAACATTTTTGAACACCAACATCTCCACATTAACTTAATACATATTTACATTTATGTAAATTTTTTAAAGGGTGTGATTTTAGAAATAGGAAAGTGTGAAATATGTGCTCAATAGCCTTTTTCCTGCAGATTCAATCTGGTTAAAATGACTTTTGAGAAATTATTGCAAGTGCTTAATTATAATAGTAATTAAAATGTATTAAGTGCTTCCTTGTAAACAGACATTGTGCTAAGTGCTTTGCTCAAATCATATAATGTGCTTTCTGTAATAATCCTGGTATTATTGCCATTTCATATATGGGTTATCAAGGTTAAATAACTTGCTAGAGGTCACAAAGCTACAAAGCGATAGAGCCAGGAATTGAAACCAGGCAGTCTGACTCTTATGCAAATATATATATCTCTATATATTTATATCTATATCTATATATATAAATCATACTTCACCACCACTACTCAACTAGACAAGGGTATGGGCAGTGGTGCTGGGAGGCTAACTAATGACTAGATCATGTCTGAGCCAGGCAATCCACAAAACCAGGAGGGCGGTAGCAATCTGTGGTCCATATCATGAATTGTTAGTATGATTAAAATCTCTGTCAAATCCATTATGGCTAAATCATACTGTTCATGAAAGGGCTCTGGCAAAAGCTTGGCAAACAACGTTATAAGGTGAATAAAAATGCCTGGGAATGACAAAAAAAAAAAAAAAAGATAGCATGAGTAGTGTCTAGTTTAGGAAAGACAAATCCATTTCATCTCATTTTCTAACCCTACTCAGTGGTGATGACAGCCTTGATGTGGTCAGGGTGGCTCTGGAGACAACTCCACAGAGTGCTTTTCATGCTGGAGCAGCAGACCTGGTGCTCTCTGACTTACTCAGTGTGCTCCTGATCCAATTATTCTGGCACCCTGGCACTGTGTTCAAAAGGGTCTAGATATTTGGTATATCAGAATATTCTGTTCATTTCTGATTTAAATTTCCTAACATTACATGAGTAGGTTAGTGTCATCACCACTTTGCTTTGTTGTTCAGATTGCCAAGGTCTGTAGTCATGTTCTGGTTCATTCCCCTGTGAAAATGCAAAATTTTACAGCGATGAGTTGAATTACCATAGAAGAAATTTTATGATGATGAGAAAGCCTCAAAATTATCCACTTGTTCAGTGGTTGTAGATTTTTATTTAATGCTCTACTTTAGTTAAGGGAGCTCTGGTAGCATAGTGCCTAAGACACTTGACTGCTAACTGGAAGGCTGGTGGTTCAAACCCACCAGCCACTCCTCAGAAGCAAGATGGGGCAATCTACTTCCGTAGTGATACTGCCTCGGAAACCCAAGGAGGGGTCCCTATGAGTTGGGTCCAACTAGAAGGCACATAACAACAACAACAACACTTTAGTTAAAGCTTCTGCTTCTATTTTAAATAGACAACTGCAGACAGAAAAAAGATTATACCCTGAATAGGCCCACAAGTGAGCCCAAGGGCTAGCACCCACTCTGCAGGTAAGGCATTTTAGCATGAAATTTCTAACAGCATATCACCAAGGCCCTTCCTATCACACCCTGCATCAAAACAAGCTCCCGCTTATCTTCACATACAGAAATGTCATCACACACTCCAAACTCTGAATGGCAGGCATTCGTATGTCCCTACCATTGGATAGCAGAGTAAGTGCTATTTCTTGTAACCAGGTCACAGCTTCAAAGTTCAAGAGTGGAGACAGGCACCACACATTGCAGACTTCTGATTCTTTACTTTCTCAGGGGTTAAAACAAGTGAATGAGACTTCACTGGCTTCCCTGTATCTGAACTCAGAGGAACTGTGCATGGGGTTTCCCCAAGAAAATTATACCTTTGTTGTTGTTGTTAGGTGCCATCAAGTTGTGATGAGACCGTATATACAACCAAAAAAAAAAAAAAAAAATTGCCCAGTCCTGTGCCATCCTCACAATCATTGCTATGCTTGAACTCATCATTGCATCCATCATGTAAATCTATCACATTGAATGTGTTCCCCTATTTGGCTGACCCTCTACTTTACCAAGCATGCTATCCTTCTCCAGGGATTGGTCCCTTCTGACAATATAACCAAAGTATGGGAGATGAAGTCTAGCCATTCTTGCTTCTAAGAAGCGTTCCAGCTGTATTTCCTCCAAGACAGATTTCTTCTTTCTTCTAACAGTCCATTGTACATTGAATACTCTTCACCAACACCGTAGTTCAAATGTATCAACTCTTCTCTCTTCCTGACTCATTGTCCAGCTTTCACATGTATACGTTGTTGTTGTTAGGTGCTGTCGAGTCCTCTCCAACTCATAGTGACCCTATGCACAGCAGAATGAAACACCACCTGGTCCTGGGCCAGCTCCATGATTCTTGCTATACTTGAGCCCATCCCCACTGCCACCGTGAAAGAGGTCTTCTCCTCTTTCATCGACCCTCCATTTTACCAAGTATGACATCCTTCTCCAGGCAATGGTCCCTTCTGACAACATAACCAAAATATGTGAGACGAAGTCTGGCCATTCTCGCCTCCAAGGAGTATTCTGGCTGCACTTCCTCCAGGACAGACTTGTTAGTTCTTTTACCAGTCCACGGTACTTTCAGCATTCTTTGCCAACACCCAGCTCAAAGGCATCAATTCTTTTTCCGTCTTCCGAAAAAGGCGATTGAAAATACATGGCTTGTGTCAGGTGTACCTTAGTCCTCAAGGAGATATCTTTGCTCTTCAGCACTTGAAAGAGGTCTTTTGCAGCCGATTTGCCCAGTGCTATATGTCATCTGATGTTCTGACTGCTGCTTCCATTGGTGTCGATTGTAGAACCAAGTAATGTGAAGTCTTTGACAATTTAATCTTTTTTTCCACTTATTATAATGTTGCTTATAGGACCATTTGTGAGGATTTTTGTTTTCTTTATATTGAGATGTAATCCATACTGCAGACTGTATTCTTCAATCTTCATCAGTAAGTACTTCAAGTCGTCCTCACTTTCAGCAAGCAAAGTTGTGTGTCAGCATATTGCAGGTTGTTAATGATTCTTCCTCCAATCCTAATGTCACATTCTTCTTCATATAGTCCAGCTTCTTGGATTAGTTGCTCAGCATACAGATTGAGTAAGTATGGTGAAAGGATACAACCCTGGCACACTTCCTTCTTGAGTTTAAACCATGTAGTGTTCCCTTTTTCTGTTCGAATGGCAGCCTCCTGGTCTATGTACAGGATCCTCATGAGTACAATTAAGGGTTCTGGAATTCCCATTCTTCTCAGTGTTATCCACAATTTGTTATGATCCACACAAGCAAATGCTTTTGCATAGTCAATAAAACACAAGTAAACATCTTTCTGGTATTCTTTGCTTTGAGCCAAGATCCATCTGACATCAGCAATGATATCCCTCTTTCCATGTTCTCTTCTGAATCCAGTTTGCATTTCTGGAAGTTCTCTGTCAATATACTGCTACAACTGTTTTTGAATTCTCTTCAGTAAGATTTTACTTGTGTGTGATATTAATAATATTGTTCAATAATTTCCACATTCTGTGGGATTGCCTTTCTTTGGAATGGGTACAAATATGGATCTCTTCCAGTCATTTGGCCAGGTAGTTGTCTTCCAAATCTCTTGGCATAGCTGAGTTAGTGCCTCCAGTGGAGCATCTGTTTGTTGAAACATCTCAGTGGGTATTCCATCAATTCCTTGAGCCTTGTTCTTCACCTGTTCTTTCAGTGCAGCTTTGACTTCTTTCAATACCATTGGTTCTTGAACATATGCCACCTCCTGAAATAGATGAAGATCAACCAGTTCTTTTTGGTACAGTTACTCTGTATATTCCTTCCATCTTCTGTTCATGCTTCCTGCATCATTCAATATTTTCTCCACAGAATCTTTCAATATTGCAACTCAAGGCTTAAATTGTTTCCTCAGTTCTTTCAGCTTGGGAAATGCCAAGCATGTTCTTCCCT